GAAGGTCTACCATTTTAGGAAAACCTTGGAGGAGAAATGTCTAGAGCCTTGAACTCCGGTTTTCACATCCTTGTTTATAACGCCCCAGTGAGAACGTCCCTCCAGGTGGGGGCACAGCCTGACTTCTTCAACTGTGAGCACCACTTCCCCTGAGCTTTCAGGGACCCGTGGTTTGAGCCACAGATGCTGGGAGCTGGGGAATTTCCAGAAGGTGCACGTTCCGCCCCTCGCTGCTCCCCTGTATGACCCGAGATACCCTCCACCATTGTGACCTGGGGCTTGTCAGAAGTGCAGACCCCCAGGCCCCAGTGCAGACCTCAGGACTGGGGCTCTGTGACGGGATCCCCTGGCGATCCGTATGCGCACAGGTTTGAGGGGCGCATTTCTAGCCAAAGCCGGACGCCAGGGTCCTAGGAGGAGGTGGCGCTTGTCCTTGATTCAATGTTCCCTTTACCAGGACGGAGGGACAGTAAGTGGCTTCTGGGGGTCTCAGCCACCACCAACTTAATTTTTTTATCTGGATAGACTTTAACATGTCCTCTGCTGGAGTGTTAATTTAGAAAATAATCGTATGCTCTGTAAAGAAGTAGGACGCTTAGGCCCGAAGCCTTCTGCTCAGCCCGGGTGCGGATGCAGGCAGCCCCGCGGAGCTTCAGGTGATCAGACCCGCAGATACACCCCCCACCCCGGCCGCCCCTGCCGGCTGCGTCCCGGGACACAGGCTGACACACATTCTTACGGATGAGCCGGAGGCACCTTCAGGTCCCGAAGTGCCCTCTGAATCCTTGAAGGGCTGTGCGCGCCGTGCAGTCTGCGCTCAGCCTCGCACACGCCCGAGCCCGCGCCCGCCAGCATCCTCCCCTCCCCATGTCGTCCTGCTCATCCTGGCCCCCCCGTTAACACCCCCAGTTCCGTTCCTGTCTCCTGCGTTTGATTAGCAGCCTCCTGCTGTGTTCTTTTTATAATCTGGAAAAATGATTTTGAGGAGGTTTTTATCTATTTTTTTTAATGTTAAGAATAAAACCACTTGTAATAAATGACACAAATGTATAAAGTTGGTGCTAGCTCGAGCTACACTAAAGGACGCGTAATGCCTGGAACACACGTGTGTGGGGGTCTGAAGAGCTCGGACTGGGAGTTCAATTCTTTGTTCCCCATTTTTAAGAGGAAAAGTAAGGGCTGCATTCAGAGTGTTTACCAGGAGAGTGAACGTTCCAGGGCCCTGTCTGGGTGAGCCTTGAAGGAGAGAAACACGTTCACACTGCAAAGCAAGAGACTCACGGAAATGTGACAAGTGTCTTCCAATGTTGTCCCCCCCGAGAAGGGGGTCCTGAGCACGAGGATGTGCTCTTCGTGCTGCGAAGCGTTGGTGATTGAGAGCTTCTGAGTCGGCTCGTTCCCAAGTCACCTGCTCCTCGTGAACCAGGCCGAGTCCCAAAGCCGTTGTGATCGTGGGAGGCAGCCCGGCGTGGAGAAGGCGGGGGCTTCGGGGAGGAACCTGCACTTGGCCTCCGGGCTGTGGGTCCTGTGAGCGTCACTTGAGCCTCTTTCCCCAACTTTCAGATTAAGAGAGCAGGCGTCTTGCTCTGCAGCGTTCCTCTCAGCAGCGTTGTGCCGCTTACTCAGAAATACACTGCTTTTGAATTTGACCGTTTCTCAGTCTCATAATAGAAGCTGTGAACGGGTTACTGGAGCTGCCTCTGACTGTGAAATGGATCAAGACGGTGCTGAGAAGGTGACCGTGAACTTGGCACAAAGCCGTCATCACTCTCCCTCCATTTAGCTACAGGGTGGCCTCAGGGGAGTCCTGGTAGAGATGGCATAGGACCAGGTGGTGTGCAGTCCCACTGCGCTCCTGGCCACGGACACGTGCCGTTTACCCAAAATAAATCTAACCACCCACCAGACCACTTGTCTGGCGATAATGTCATCTCCCGTTCTGGGATATTTATTATCAAAGAGAATAGTGTTCTCAAAACACGGATTGAAGGACTGAGAAATTCACCACATCCCAGGAAGCGGGGTTTTGATGCTTTTCCTACCTGCTTAGTAATGCC